AGGTCACCACACTTTCCATACATATCAATAAGAATATTGCCTGCAGTAATGTCGCATCCATACCCGATTCTCACCATTAAGTCATGGGCAAATTTGCCCAGCTCCAAGTCCCTTAGATGGCCACAAGCACGGATAACAGATGTAATTGTCAACAAATCAGGTGTAAATCTATTCATCATTTCTATAAAAAACTTAGTTGATTCTTCAAACAGATTGAATTGAATTAACCCACAAATCACAGTGTTCCAACTAACAGTGTCTCTAACTACCATCTCATAAAAAATCCTTCTTGCATCCATTAATCTATCAAACTTGAAGTACATGGAAAGAAGTCCGTTGCCTACTACAACATCCTCATTGATCCCAATCTTCATAGCTAGGCCATGAACAACTTCCCCTTCTTTCACAGCTACCAGGCCTCCACAAGCAGGCAGAACACTAGAAACAGTGAAAAAATCGGGTACCTGTCCAACAAGTATTGACCAATGATAAATTTCCAGAGCTTCCTCCCAATATCTATTTGAACTATAGCCAGAAATCAAGCTATTCCATGACACATTATCCCTTTGAGGCATTTCCTCAAACACCCTGCGAGCTTTACCCAAGTAACCAAACCTTGCGTACATGTCAACCAAAGCATTGCCAATATACAAATCTGTTTGGAAACCCATCTTGGAAATATGTTCATGCACAAACTTCCCCATCCCATAATCTAACAATCCAGCACATGCATTGATCACCGACGGGAATGTGAACTTATCAGGCACAAGTTCCATCCTTTGCATTCTGGTATAAAAATCAAGTGCTGTAGAGTATAATCCGTTTTGGGTAAGCGCTCTAATGATTGAGTTCCATTGATAGACGTTGGTGGTTGGAGAAACTCGGTGAAATACCGAGAGAGAAGAAGTGGGGTCTTTGAGCTGAGCATATTTGCTAATGAGTTTGCCGGAGAAGAAAGAAGATTGGTCGAGTCCTGAAGCAATTATCAAAGCATGGATTTTGTGGACGTCTTTGGAGATTGATGCAGAAGATAAAGCATTTGAAATTGAAGAAAGATTACTTCTTGAGCGCGTCCATTTAAACTGCAAAGCTTTGCAGTTTCATGAAAGCAGAGCCTGGGACGTAACGTAAGCAAAAATATA